ACATTTTTCCATTTTTACAAAGTCTGGTGAGACCAAACAGTATATGTTGTGTATTAAAACAAAAAGACATGTATTATAAAGTGATTTTGATTAAATATCCTGATTTTAAGCTTAGATTTGGTTATTTTTCCCAACAGAACGCCTCTCTTTACTTAAGACTAGCTGATGCATCGTCGTAAAGTTTGAAATCCAATAACTGTTTCTGTTTTTTTTTACAGTTTCTGTCTCTTGTTGCAATTTTTAACAGACAATATGTCTTTCAAACCCACCAGGAGTATTCGGGGTTCAGCGGGTTAATGTAGGTAAAGAATACATCTGTCAGTGGACATGAGTGATCCTGGGAGGGAAGGATGAGAGCAGTCTGGGGAGCTACTGCAGATGTTCAACACATGGCCATTTTATAGCGCACCTACAGGTATTTGGGATAATTTCAGGAGTTGTTATGGTGATAATTCTCTACAGTAGTTTTCAGGCCCCTTCTTATTACGAAAATGAAATTGTTCACGCTCAGGAAGTGTGAGCTTGATGACACTCTTAATATTTGATGACAATATAACAATAATGTGCTATCAGCCTTGATAGATTAAATTGCGCTACACTATCTGCTCTGTTTGGTCCAGTAGTTCCTCTCAGGGCAACATCTCCATCTCATTAAATTTACTGCATCCTTGTGGGGAATGCATAACAGTTTTACTGTGGTACGGCACAATATCCTGGCTAAAGTGAGGCGCTACCACTGAGCCTGGGGCCACTGAGGGCTAACCTTATCGCAATGTGCACAACAGCACACCAAGCAAAGCTTATTAAATGTTGAAGTGAAAACAATTTGTGCTAATTTCCCGTTGCAATTCCCCGAGCTTTCACAATGAGGGAAAAGAATGCTTGTAAATACGAGGTATGAGGACTTTTAGAAAGCTTCTGCATCCAAATCGGTCCTACGGCTCTGGACAATGCAACGGCTTTGGCTCCGTCACACTGTTTTTCCTATTTGTAATAGAACATTTATGTTGTCTGATGGCCATCTGGTTTGGTTGCCTAACGGTCATCTTGAATAAATATTTCGCTTCGCTGCATTATTCAGTTGCAAAACTGTGTCCCAGGAGTACTTTTTAAAATCTCCCAAAAACAGAGAGCATTGTTCAAGTTTCTTATTTACTTCTTCGGCCAGACCTTATATAACTCACACGTTTAAATTGTATTTATATATAAATTTATGCACAATTAAGGGGCGTGGCTGCTTTGATTGTCAGGTGGGTGCCATCGTGGGACAGTTCATGACCCGATTTCTGTTTCTACCCTGAAGCCAAAGCACTAAATCCTCAGAGACCTGATGGTAAAGCCGTAAAAGTGGTTGAGCGTGTGAGTTCATGAGGCTTTAAATGACATAAAGGAAGAATGCGACACATTATCGTGACAACACAGTTTGTTTGGTCACATCGTCATTAAGGAAAAGCGACTTTCACTCATAGCTGATCCGGGTTTGTGGCATTACAGTGTTTCTACATTTTAGCAAGCTACCAAACATGAAGAAATGTCTGTAAATCCAAGTACAAACAACTCTACAAACATGTAATAAATAACCACATCAGCACACATCCAGAGGTTGTCACTGATCACAGATTTCTTCCTGATGCCATCCATGTTCGGTATAAATAATGGATTAATCAAGAGAATCGATGGCACTGAAATGAATTGTTAGCTATTACCCCTATTTGAAATGGCTTTACCAGAGATTTGCTACGGAAAAGGGGAAGATGAATACCTTTTTTCAACTTCTTTCATCAAAGCTCAACTCTTAATGATCTCCACTGGCATCAGAAACTCCATCCATNGATTTTATTCTTTGGTTTGTGGCTGTTCGTGTTCACAAATAAAGGCTACGAACACACAGGTGCTGACTGACCGAGCGTCTTCCTTTAACCCTCTGGACTCCAGTTTCTGGCTGGTTTCTGCTCCGTGCACATTTTAACTAACTGTGGGCTCATTTTTCACTGATACATATAAAGTCCTGGACCTGTATGGAAACAGCACAACAGCTAAAACCTTGTGTGACACAGTCAGAATGCCTTAAAGTAGATTATAAAAAAATACAAAAGTTTGATTTCTCTAAAGAAAAGAAGGGGGAAAAAAGTTTAATTTCTTTGATAAGGGGCTGCAAGGTAGTTCGGTGGTTAGCATCGTTGCCTCGCAGCAAGAAGGTCGCCGGTTTGCATCCTGGTGAGGACACCTGGGATCTTTCTGTTTGCATGGTCTCCCCGTGCAGCGTGGGTTCTCTCTGGGTTCTCCGGCTTCCTCCCACACAGTCCAAAAACATCCATAATGGATGGATGGGACCTGGAAGTGTCCATGGGTGCTACCAATACCGTTATTATACAAATATTTACTACTTCCATTTTCTAATTTGTAAAACAGAAAACAAAACAATGTCCCCAGTTTTCTGTTTTTTGCACAT